TTTGTTAAAATGTTTTCATCATGGTAAAAAGTCTCAGAGCTTAAATTCAGCCAGTTCAAACATTTACTGGTTTGACTGGATTTTTTTTTTGGTGGTGTCTGTGGTTTTTAAAAATTTTTTGTTAGTTTTGTGGGTTTTTTGGGGTGTTTTTTGTTGGCTCTGTTTTGTTTTGGKTTTTTTTGTTAAAATTATTTTTATTCTGGTGAAAAGCCTCAGAGCTTAAATACAGTCAGTTCAAACATTTTCTGGCTCTAATTTCAAGCCTTTTTCTCTTACGGGATTGTTGATGTTTCATAGCCCAGCTATGGCAGATGGGAACATAAATATTCAGAAAATGAGCATCGCCTTCAGGGATTATCTGCTTCAGGAGCGTTTGAGCTCCTTGGCCCTTGGTGGTTGTTCATTTTGGAGCCTTTTTGGAAATAACCATCCCCATGGCTTTTCCTCAGGATTTTCCTAATTTTCCAAAGTGCACCTTTACAATCCCATGTCTCTGCTTTCAAAGCTCCCAACTGATTTTTATTCTTGGTTTGGGGATTGGTTTGAGTTGGATTTTTTTTTCACTTTTATGTTTCACTGACTTTTCCAATCCAAGATTTACAAAAGATCCGGGATTGTGTCCTGGGTTTGATATAAAGCCAAATTTGTGGTGCTGTGGGAAGAWGATGCAAATAAAACACTGAGAATAAAGCAGACATGGGTTGGTGCTCTGGGGCAAGGAGAAGCAAAGTGATCACTTTTTCGTATGGAAAAGCATTTCCAAAAGTTTTACCAACTTTGTTATGACAGTAGGAAGGGATTTCAAAGATTATGGCTTGTTTTATGCTGCTCAAAGTTTTCAGAAGTTGTAATTTATAATTACTATCTGAAATTTCTSCATTTTCTTTCCTCATTTCTGTCATTCCTCCTCATTTTGCCAGTGTTTGCTCTGAGTTTGAGACTCTGGCACCAAATCCTGTATTGTTTTGGGGGGAAATGTCTGAAATGACACAAAATGTGTTCTGTGCAGAAGGAAACTGAGTTTTTTTCATGCAGCTGGATGTACTGGGGGACCATTTATTGAGCCAGTCTGGGTTGGGTTTAAATCCCAGCCTTGCTTAGGTACTTGGTTGATTTTAAAACCCATGAATTTGGTGGCTGTTGTTGACAGTGTGCAGAATTCAGTGTTTGTTATTTTGGGAACATAAGGATTCTGTATGAATTACAGAATTTGGCATTGATTCTTCTTGTGGGTTAAACCCATTTTTTTCTTTTCCCGGCCAATGCACCAAAAATGTCATGGTTTGAATTGGCCAAAAGCCAAAAGCACCCAACGACGTTCCCTCCCCCCCCACCAGAGAGGCAGAAAGGAGAGCAAAAGCCCAATTAACACTAAAATTTATGGCTTTTAGATAACATAACAAAACTGAGAGAAAGATATGTATATGGTCCACAAAATGATCAGACAGGCTGAATAACTTAACTTGCAAAATAAATTTATTACTAAAAACTACTTAGAATGCTACTGCACGGGGGAGGGGAACAAAGATAGGGAAAAATTTACAATTTAGAAAATAAAAATGGACATTTTAAGACACCTGTTATCCTTTCCAGGGACCCATCTCTTTCTCAGGTCATCCCTCTCTACCCCCCATGCCTTCCTGCACGGGAAGGGCTCCTTTTGCTGGAGAAGAAGGAAAAAGCTTCTAGAACTTTCTCACAGGAGCCATCTTTGTGGTTTTTGGTCCCATCCCTCAAATCAGACCACCACCACAAATCAGACTGAGTAAAACCAGGACAATTCTGAACATTTCTGTTGTTTYCCTCAGGTACCTGCATGCCGTGGCTAACCCAGGACTCATCACCTTCACSGGGCCCTACCTGGACGTGGGAGGGGCTGGATACGTGGTGACCATCAGCCACACTGTCCATTCCTCCAGGTAATGGGGTTTGGGGATTTAGGGCAGGCAGAGCACTCTAAATTATCAGAGAGAAAAACTCTGGGTGTCTCTGTGTGCTCAAGAAACTCTGGGTGTCTCTGTGTGCTCGAGAACTGAAACCCAAAGCTGAGTTTAAAGTGCTTTTGGTGAAATGCAGTCTGACCTTGAGGAAATGGGGCACTAAAACGCTGTGAGGAATCCATTTTATAGGAATATGAGAGTTCTGTGCTTTATTGATCCAGGAATAATAACAGCAGATAAAAAATAAAATTGATTGGTGAGAAAGTGCTCCTGGAGGAACACGAGGTGGGATGGCCGAGGAATTGGGAGCAGGAGAGGGATTGCTTTGCTCAGGCAGTTTGGGATGGATGTGCTCCCTCTCTGCTGGAAGTTAAATTCTCCTCCCTCAATTCTGCCAAACTCCAAATTCCCTGGAGTTACCCACACCTTCATTTCTGGGGCTGTGAGGAGCAGGGAGGTGTTTGGGATGGAATTGGAAGCTGATCCAAGGGCACAAATGGGCTTGAGGACAGAGCTGTCCA